TACAAATTTTGAAAAAAAGAGGGAATTAAAGCAGAACTCTGGGCAAACTTTTTCCTAACCCTTGCAGTAGGGCTACCCCGACACTGCAAGGGTTAAGCGCTTGTTTATGTCTAGTTGCAAAAAAAAACCTTATACTCACCTGATCCTCGGAGTCGGCTTAATGTTAGATCGGTTCCTGGAGCCTCTCACCCTTCGCATGAGTTGGACGTGATGACACCAAGTGAGGACATTCTATTATTGCAGTAGAGGACAGCTTTGAGGTTCAGGTGAGTAAAATATTGGTATTTTTTCTCCTAGACAAAAACAATCACTTAACCCTTGCAGTGCAGGGGTAGCCCTACTGCAAGGGTTAAGAAAACTTTTGCCAGAGCTCTTCTATAATGCGGGTAGTATGACTATCAATAGACAACAAGTTTAAGAAGATTTGTCATCAGAAAATCTGAACAAGGTTGAACATGCCTGCCAACAGTCTAGATTGTCAAATTTTGTACCAGGTTTGTGGAAAGGAGGGGGTAGAACTCAGCAATACATTGGTTTAAAGTCAAAAAGTCTAAAGCCAAAACTTTTTTTCTTAGTTTTGGATAGGGTAGAGTGCGGTTAAAACCCCCTTTCGAGTTGCTGTTTGTGTTCATTTGGGTAGATTTCCTTTCAATTCCTGCCCACAGGAAAGACCAAAAAGTGGACTGAAATCTGTCCAACATGGATGAGGTGGTTGTCACCGCAATAGGCATACCTATTGAAACATCTCCTCTTCTTGTTCTGGTGACAACTGTAAAATATTGCATTTCCCATAATTTTGTAACCAGAGACACTGGCTACCAGGACAAATAGAAATAGTGAATATTTCCATAGAAATTGTCAAGCCGGTTGGGGCAAACAGAGCCACCCATGGCTCGAATTTTGGCCAAATTCTGTGAAATGGAGCAGTGTATGGCCAGCTTTAGACTTTAACAAGTGTGACAGCACTAGAGATATGTTTAGGACACTTGTTACCTATTAAAACAAAACAATGACCTCATTATACAGATCCTGTCTACAAAGTAAGATAAATAGGTGAATGACATGAAACATTATCAATTGTAGCTGAAATAAAATTAAATGTGTTTGATGTATAAACAATCTCAATTTTCCTACAGCGAGCCTAAGAAAAATGTGCAAGAGATGACCTCTTTGCGTATCACTGTTGGGACACAGACAGAGATGCCTCTGGTAGAAGGGGAATCCAAAGAAAGCTTAGACACATTGGATGGAAATTTATTATGTGAGAATCACTCAGTGAATGGTGAAACAGCCGATGTGATCACAGACTTCGAGGAGGCACAAGTGGTGGATAAGGTGTTCGAAAGCCCACCACCAGAAGAGGGAGGACCCTGTACAAAAAGCGTTTCAGCTCTAAGACAAAATAAGAAGGAATTGTAAGTAGAACTCTTTTTATACAAACTGTTATTAAAATGACAGTTTACCCAAAATAAAATGATCGCTAAAGATTGTTTTGTTCTGTGGGCTGAAGGAAAAAAATCTAAGAGGTTCCCCCATTCACTCCGAAACTTCCCCCGTCCCCCCACAGGGCTATTGTATCTACACAGTGGTGGGTGTGCCCATGTCAGAATACCCGAACAGTGACTGCAGCTGATTGGCTGACAGCCAGCACTTACATCTGTCAGAATACCCGTAGAGGCACTGCATCTGATTGCAGTCATTGTTCAGCCATCGAAGCTTGCCAAGCCAGGTGGTTTCAGCAGGGCCAACCACGGCTTGGCTTTTGGCTGATTTACAATAACTGGACGAAATTCATGCCGTGGGTGCCCAGATTTATTACACAGACACACTCTGCAATTATGCATGCCCCACTTCTGAAGGTAAAGTCACATTTTACACAGAGTTTTACAATTGCTGACATGAGAGAGGGAGCAATAAATAGTTTACAACAGTCTCTCTGTACAGGTACCTCTTGGATGGGATAGAAAAAGCAATAGCAAGGGTCATCAAAAGCAGGTTAGAGTATTCAGAAAGGTGCAAAGTAAATATAAAATAGATTTCGCTGCTCAAGGAAGTGATACAGGAACATCAGATGAGAGCTCTGAGAGCTGGTACCTTGAGTACAGTTGTGTGCTGTACCCAGTGGCATCACAAAGGGGGTGCAGCCCGCACCCGAGTGACACCATTGCAGCGGTGACATCAAAATGACTGACTGATTTTGGTGTCACCCCCTCTAAAAAGTTGGGCACTTGGTCATGGACCGAGAGCCCGACAGTTTCAGGAGAGAGGAGGGTACCCGGCGTCATACCTCGTTCCCCCGGGTGAACGTCCCCTCCTCTCTGCTGGCGTCCATCACCAAGATGACCTCATCGCACATGCGCAAGGTGACGCCACGCGCAACGACACGGCGGGGTGTCACCCGGTATAGAGACCGGGTGACATCCGGCCTCGGGACGCCCCTGGCTGTACCATGTACAACTTTCAGTAGTGAATTTCTATTTTTGGAGTGCTTGTCATAATCTCTGCACAGAGAACAGACAGAAAATCCATATTACTTTTAGCCATTTCCCTTTCTCCATTTGCAAACATTCAGTTTATGCTGTAGTTTTACTTTATTGTTTTATTGATGGCTGAATGCTGAAAAAAAGGTTCAAGAAAAAGTTTGATAGTTTATAATATATTATTTATAGTATATCGCGTGTAAGTCAACCTCAAAGTCAACCTCACCCCTGGTTTTTACTGTTGTGAATGTGTAAACAATCCAGGTTGTGGAGGAGGAAAGCTGCAAAAGGAAACCTCATGCACCAGTAAAAGTGTTTGCTGAATTCAGCCTTTAAAGCTGAATCCTATATTTAGCGCTGACTGGTGGAACGGACGGGGGAGGGGGCGGGTACAGCTGGCTCTGCCTCTAGATAGGCAGAGCCAGCTGTCACTCACGCAGCTGGGCGGATCTCGACATCGATGTCGGGATCCGCTCCGGGTGCGGCGTCTCAGTATACCGCGAGCTGTTGCTCGCGGTATACTGAGCTTAGGGTAACGGGAGGACGCTAGTTGGTGTCCTCCCGTTACCGTAAGGAGAACTATGAGGAAAAGCCCTGGCCCTATAATTCTCCTTTAACAAATTAATTTAATGCTGCAGAGCTTCATGCTGATGTGATTTTGAGTGAAAGGGGGTAAAAGTCCACTTTAAAAGATGCCAGAGTGCTTTATAAGTGGGTTATCCCTTCATAGCTCTTAGGTCCCTTCATAGCTCTATAGCCTATGTTGGCTATAAATTCACATGAATAATTATAATAATAGTATTAATAAAGATGGAAGCCTGAAACACCAGTACTTTCAGAGGCAAACTTCAGCCAAATATGTTTTTTGTATGTTTTGGAGAGGATAGGATATGGTCAGATCCTTTGACTGGGATTAAGGGCTCATTCACACTAACCTGTATGTTAAAACAAGCTGTTTTAGCACGCAGCCTGGTGTCCATTGTGTACGGAAGGCATTTCTTTCATTTCTATGCACCACACTAGACGCAGCACAGTGATGGATGGTGACTTTAGGTGAGCTGCGTTGTGGAAAAATGTAGCATGTCTGCATTTTTCACAACCCTTAAGGCAGTATTGTGTTGTGAAAAGGGCACATATAAAACAATTGTTGTCTGTGTGCCCTGGCATTGAGCTGTGCTGTTACACTTCCTCACTAAAAACATGTTTTCATTGCTGTTTGTGTCTGTATTGGAGAGGTGCTACTCATTTCTTTTCCCAGTGGTAACAAATAAAGGCAGAAATATTACACTGCAGGGATGAAGATAATAAAAACATAAAGTTTTAACCTTTCCCCAGTGTCCAGAGATAGAAAAAAGTTACAAGCTAATACAGTAGACATGTGCACTGCCAAAAAATTCGTTTAGTTTAGTTTCGTTTTAAATTCAGATTTGTGTTATTTCGTTTTTCAGGATTCGGGTGTGAAAGTCAATTCGGATTCGGAATTCGGATTCGGACGACATTCGGTAGCGTTAGTATGAACGTTCGTTTCGTTTTCTGTTCTTATACGTTTCTTATTCGTTTCTTATTCGTTTCGTTCGTTTGCAGCAAAAGTGACATTTGAGGGGGAAAAAATATTTTTCTCCTTCTCTAATGTCACTTTGCTCCAACGAACTAAATGAATAAGAAACGAATAAGAACAGAAAACGAAACGAACGTTCGTACGAACGCTACCGAATTTCGGAAATGGAAATTCGGATTCGTTTGCATTCGTTATGTCTGTAATTCGGAATTCAGATACATCCGAATTTCCGAAAATTCGTCCAAATTTCGATTCGGAACGAAACGAATCGCACATGTCTATAATACAGTACCTGGGTTTGTAAAGGCATTTGGTCATAAAAGTGAATTTATATACTTTGTAGCTGTTGAGAAATGTTTCAATCATTTAATTTTTTTGCCTGGAGTTCAGCTTTAGGGCAGTCAAAACACTTGAAGCATTTTAGTTATCTTATTATAAACACTGTCTAGATGAAGTAAACAGGATACTGAAAAACAAATCCTTATGAAGTCTTTCAAAAGTACATTTAATTTTACTCAGTTGAAAGATTTACAAAGGAACCATGCAGTGTTACAGGGAAAATCGGGTAAGAGTCACATGAGTAGGTTTTTCAGTTCTTTTCTTCTAAATCAGCGTTTTTCAACCCCTGGGTCGCGACCCCCTCGGGGGTCGAATCACGATTAACCAGGGGTCGCCCGGGAGTCTCCCACTATTAGATAGCGGCTCCTGGCCGCCCAGGAAAGAAACACTTTCTCCCGGAAAGTGTAAAGCAGAGTAAACCTTTCCCTGCGATCGTTTCTTTTTTTTTCTGACATCGCGGGCCGCTGGCCACCGTAAGTCAGAAAAAAAACTCACCATAGGAATGCATAGCTAGATTCCTATTGGCTATTTCACTTTGCAATAGCCAATAGCAAACTAGATATTGCACCCGCCCTCTGCTGCTGCCAATCATCAGAGGGGGACATGCAGTTCTCCATCAGGTCCTCTTCTAATGATTGACAGCAGCAGAGGGCGGGTGCAATAGCTAGTTTGCTATTGGCTATTGCAAAGTGAAATAGCCAATATGAATCTAGCTATGTGAATTACTATGGTGGTTTTTTTTTTTTATTCTGACGGCGTACGCCAGTGGTTCTCAACCTGTGGGTCGCTGTGTGATTTCTGCTGTGCTAGGTGAGAGTCCCCCTCAGCCCTCTCCTACGCAGCAGTGTCAGTGTCCCACACCGCCAGATGTCGCTGCAGCAGATGCGTCATCCCTAAATTTTACTGTTGGGGTCACCACAACTTGGCAAATGTTACCAAGGGGTCCCGGCCCTAGAAAGGTTGAGAACCACTGTTCTAAATAGACCTGAATTCAAAAAGTGAACATCTAAAAAGCACAATACCTAAACAGTACCTTTGAAAAAAATTACCTTTTGTCTCCTAAAAATTAGCGGTGCAGTAAGTGTCTAGGCACTCCTAATTTTATATCTGTAGTGTGAAATCTAAATCTTCGCTGCCTTTGACTGCTAGTTTTAGAAGATTGAGGTGAGATTCGGTGATGTCACTACTGTGGGGCTCACTGTTCTCTTTGCTGGAGACTCTGGCATGAGGAAGCAAAGCCCTGCCTACAGCAAGATGGCTGCCTCCACACAAGGCAAGCCATGACATGTCAGTAATGGGGGAAAGATCAGCTGCAGGGAGATCACTGGGATACTGGTAACTAGTCCTATGTTATCGCCTGTCTTTTTTAGTCCTAGCTTCCAGATTTCAGTTTCTCCTTCAGGGAAAACACAATAGAAATACATTTCCCAACACATATAAGCATGCTGTAGAGATATTCAGACATTAAGTTAGTCAAAAGCACTTATGTCAATTTAGTGGGTTTATATACACATGCATAAAATAATGAAGCTAAGTATGTTCTGAGAAAACCCAGCCAGGTTTCCTTGTACCATTGCACAACACATTTATACATCTTTTGGCCTATATATTTGGCCTATATATATTTTATATATATATTTGAGGTGAGCAAGTCTGTGGTGTACTGCTTGTTGTAGCTGAGTTAAACAACATTGCTTAAAGTACACTGCCTGGCCAAAAACCACCTGGATTTAGCTAAGCACATTGGTAAGAGCCTTGCATTGGATAATTACTGCAGGTTCAGCAAAGTTATGTTCCCAAAAAATGAGGTCAGCTGCCTACCTAAATATACTAAATGACCAGGTTTTTCCATCAATGGGTTTTTCTTCCCTGATGGCACGGGCATATTCCAAGATGACAACGCCAGGATTTATCGGACTCAAATTGTGAGAGAGTGGTTCAGGGAGCATGAGACATCATTTTCACACATGGATTGGCCAACACCAGACCTTAACCCCATTGAGAATATTTGGGATGTTTTGGAGAAGACTTTACGACG